GCGTTTTCCGCGCCCCCTTGGGCAGGTCGGGCCCCCCCCCCTGCCACTCCTAGAAGGCTGCATGGAAGATGTGACACAGGACAGCTCAGTGTGGAAGAGTGCTGGATGTTCCTTTTGTGGAATGGCTGCCTTCTCTTGGGTTTGTTCTCCATTACTGCCAGGGCAGCTGCTGTACCTCCACACCACGCTGCCGCTTGCCAGCTCAGCACGGATGATGATATGCAACTCAGCAGACAACTTGACTCCCTCAGCTTTTGTGGCAGATGAGCTGATAACAGCCACTGAGTATTGATGGTGCTGGGTCTGATTCTAAGCTACGCTTTTTTGGGGGGCATTTCAGCAGCTGGTAAAATACTTCCGTTGTGTTATTACAGACAAACCCCGGCAACAAGGTGGATGAGCGTGAACCCAAAGCGTTTTTGCTGCTCCTCGCATTTGCATTGCTTGTCCCTTGTGAACGTGGCACTGTAAGGCTGGAATGACCAGCTCCAGGTTAGAAACTTAGCACCTGTCAGGAGAAGAGTCCCAAGAGGCGTTTCAGCTGTTAAATCTGGGACAGGTTCAGTGGAAACCACAGAAAACAGCCACAGCGTTTTAGGCCTGAGAAGGCTTAGATGCAAATTTATAGACAAGTCTCAGTTGGCACTTTAAAGGAAGCATCAGTTACACAGTTATGCTTGGATTTGCCTCCCACCTCTGGTTCTATTTTTATGTAAGATCGTGAAAACGTGCTGATGCACAGCATTTGTAGCTCTCTGCGAATGCATTGTGGTGGCTTTTACAGTTAAAACTATTGCTGTGTAAAAGGTTAGATGCAGTAAAAAAAGGGCCAGTGTTTCTGTTTTTCATTTTTCCTTTTCCTCTCTCAAATTCAGCAATTGTCAATACTTTGTTCTCTGTGCACAGTGGAGGGGTAGTTCTGTCTTGGTATATTTGCACTATAAAACCAAAAGTGTTTGCTTCCTGGGAAGTGGAGGGACTACGTTCTCAATGCACCCCTCTTCAGCTATCATGAAAAATACTTGAAGGGAAAAAAAAAGTCAAACAAAAAACCTGATATTCTTTATTTTTGTTATAATTTTAACAACATGAGTAAATTGAAATCTGTAAGCAAAGCAATTACATGAGGAGGGTCTAATAAAGTTGTTCAAGCTACAACCTACTTCGATTGTTGAATCAAGCTGAATAAAGCAGGCTGCTTTGATGTGTTTTTAACTTCCATGAACATAATTGGCAGTGACATCTTTTTTGCTTTAATGGCAATGGTCTTCTGTGGGCTGGGAGTTCCATAATCAGCTGAAAGGGAGAGGAGAGGAGAGGAGAGGAAAAAAGAAAAAAGAAAAGAAAAGAAAAGAAAAGAAAAGAAAAGAAAAGAAAAGAAAAGAAAAGAAAAGAAAAGAAAAGAAAAGAAAAGAAAAGAAAAGAAAAGAAAAGAAAAGAAAAGAAAAGAAAAGAAAAGAAAAGAAAAGAAAAGAAAAGAAAAGAAAAGAAAAGAAAAGAAAAGAAAAGAAAAGAAAAGAAAAGAAAAGAAAAGAAAAGAAAAGAAAAGAAAAGAAAAGAAAAGAAAAGAAAAGAAAAGAAAAGAAAAGAAAAGAAAAGAAAAGAAAAGAAAAGAAAAGAAAAGAAAAGAAAAGAAAAGAAAAAAGATTAGTCACTAGCACAAATAGGTCCTTGTGGAACCCTTGCTTTTCAGGGCACATACCTGCTTTGTTCTCCGTCTAGAAGGCAGTGATAGGCAGCGATGTCTTTCTCCAGCTGCTGTTTGCTGGTCAGCAGATTTTCACGGTCCCGCTGCTGCTGTTCGGTTTCTACTTTAATTTCTCCCATCTCTGCCTCCAGCTTGGAAATGACAGAGCCTAGGTTTTGCAGTTCAATGTCATGCCAGTGCTTGGCGTCGTATAAAGAATTCTCCAGACCCCTCTTCTGCAAGGGCAGGACAGCAGAATTAAACCAGTCAGTTTTCATATATTCCATAGTGGACTTCATTCAGGTTTGGCCAAGATCTCTACTGAATATGCTTAATTGGAGATGTAATATTTTAAGAATTCCTTTCTTTAGATACTTTCTTTAGATATTGTATTATCATTACAAAGGTAACTGGAAACTGTGTCCACTGGAAAATGGGGTTTACTCTTAAGTTGGCATTGCAAGATGGGAATGTTTTCCTCAGAAGGTGTGTTGAATTTGCACAGAAAACCACTGTACTCACCAAGGTTCTCAAAGATTCGGTTTCAGCTTGCAAGCTCTGTATTTTGCAGGCGGTTTCATGGAACTCGGTTCTGAGGCCCTCCACCAGCTCTTCCTCCTGGGTCCGCACAGCAGCCGTCGCTTCCGCCTGCTGCTGGTGAAAGGGAGTGACTTGTCATCACAGCCTACCCAAATGATAGCTTAGTTTCCTTACGACAGTTAATATTTTCACAGTTTGAGGCAATTCTGACTTTAAGGTTGATTCTTGCATATTAAATTCCTCGGCTGAGCAATTCCACATGCTTCTTAGTGTCAAAACTATCACATTTTCTACACATTTACTAAATGGCTTATACATGTAAATCTATTTATTTTATCTACGTCAACAAAAGCTGTTCAGCATTCATACTAGAATGTTTAAAATGACCTATAAAATGAAAACATTGCTGTGATTCTTCATTTTGTAGCTATACTATAATTTTTTCTGAAGTGTTTTTACTTAGAATTTCAGAAGTATTCAGACCTTGATTTTTTACTAAGGTTTCCATGAGTCAGAGAGTAAGTTGTATCACAGAGGTCAGAAAAATAGCTTGGTAATTGAATTCAGATATTCTTATGCAATTTCAGGCTCCTGTTGCTTGTGGACTTTTATATATGCTTAGTTCAGGTTACTTGAAAACTGGTGAAGGAAAAAGTAACTTAGTAAAAATAAAATTTCTATATTTTTTAGTGAGGGCTGAGATAAAGGTTTTCAATCCAGAGCTCTGGGCTCTCTAGCAAATAAAATTCTCCAACTAAAACCTACATTTCTTCTCATTGATACTAAAGTTAAACTGTGCAAAATAGTTCCATTCCACTCTGAAAATTCATCTTGATCCTGTCCTACTTTTCTGGTTATGCATTCTTTTATTTCACAAGTAAGATAAAATTAAAAAAAAAAAATCTCGGACCATACACACTGGGGACAAAACCCTTACCATGTCATATGAGAACCTGCTCAGAACCAGAACTGATCTTTCCGGAAATCTGTGATATTCTGATGAGCCTTCCCATTAAAAAATAAAATGCCAAAACAGGAACAACTTAAAACCAGTAAGAGCTTAGTCTAAAATGGCCATTAGGCATGGGCAAGGTGTCAAATACACGATAGTGGGATCCAATGATCAGTGTCAATTTTCTCCCCAAATGATATCTCCGAGCAGCTGAAAGACCAGGTACTGAAGGTGGGACAGAAATAGGAAGCAGCAGCTGTGAGCGTGTGTTTGCACATGAGGAGATGGAACAAGCAGGACAAGCAAGTGAAGAATTAAAAGCATTACAAAGCTGCTTGAGGCTCAGCATCAGGAGAGGAGAGGGCTTTTAAAAGGAATGGCTTATTAGCATCGCTTTTCATTTCTACATTAATACCCAGTTTTCCTGCTGCTGCCAAAGGAAACGTTTTCAAGGAAAAGACCCACAAGGACTCTGTAGCTGTGTAATTAGTGTAAGCAACGTGTTTTGCCCTTCTGATTTATGGACCCCTGCAAATTGTTCACTGGAGGAAGAGTTCCAGTAAGTAGGGTAATGACTGTGGCTTATCCTGCACAGAGGTATCAACTGCCTGAGTTTGTTTTTCTCAGCCAACATTTCAGAGTGCTTAGAAGGCTCCCACAGATACCTGTGGTAATAGCAGGGCCATTTCCACTGCTGCTTAACTCCCTGCCAGATTTTGTGTTTGCTTCAAGCCCCATGGTGTTGCAGCGGGTCACAGAGCACTCACCTTGGTTCTGAGCAGGGCACCTGTCTCAGCGCGGTTCTTTTCAATGTCTCTCTCCCAGTGGATTCTGATTTTTTCCAGTATGTCATCCAGGCCACTTCCCAGGGGAACATCAAGCTCTTCCAGCTGAGATCCAGCAAGCTGCTTGTATAATACCTTCACATCCTTGAACAAAAGCAACAGACATAAAAAGGTGAACCAGACAGAGAGCCTCAAGAAAGAGCTCTTCCTGTGCCACAAACTGAGCCTCGCAGCTTGTGGGAGTCGCGTATGTGCTTTTATGCATGTGCATGTTAGATGAAGAGCACCCTCCTTCTCTGTGACAGCATTCTGTTCCTTCCTTACACAGAAGTGCTCCAAAAACCACAGCAGAGAACTACTGTGTCATTGGCATGAGCAAAAAAAGTCATGTAGAAGCATCTGGGAACTGTATATGTAAGCAGCGGCCCCTGACAGTGACAATACCGCCCAAAAATGGATGGGAATTACGTGAATTATGAACCTGCTGGAACAAAAGCCTCAAAATGTTCCCATTCCCAGTTCACAAAAGCACCAAAAGGACTTGACATGGATTTCCTAGTGGGGTCACTAGGAGAAAGAAAGGTTTGAATTAGCTCAGGGAAGTCCTTGGGACTTCACTGTGCCAGAGCATTGCTGGAGCATTTGCACAAGTTCCTTCCAGCCTTTATTCTGTGACTTGTCTCGAGCAGCTTCCCTGGCTGCTGCCACCACCAAGAGAAAACCCTCCACCCTGCAAGAGCTCCTCGCTGGCTAAATGCGGGGTGAGAAGAGCTGTGGGAAAGATGGTGTTCTTGTTTTTCCACACATGCGGGCACACAACAGCATCAGTGCCAGCTTTGCAATGCACAGAGGTTTAAAGGGGATCTCAAGTATTTCTGTCAATTTTCTGTTTTCCCTCTTATCTAAAACAACTTCCAGCTTTCTCCTGCCATGCAGTAGTGTTGAAGGCATTGACTAATTTCTGCAAAATGCCAGCCTGGGGATTAGACTCATGAAAGCAATCTCGTCTTGCCAACCCAATTCTCCCTATGCCTGCTGATGTCCCTGAAATATTGTGGCTGGAGAAATAACTCATAAGAAATATAAAGCAGGATAGCGCCTCGCTTCCTTGAGCCATCTCAATTAAAGCTGTGTCTCATTTTTGAGGCATCAGCACAATTGCTTGCTGTCCCTTGCGCAGTGTTGGTGCAGCAGGACCAGAGCTTTTTCCCTGCACACGCGTTTTCTCTTTTCATCTCTGGCTGAGAATCAGAGCCTAGAGCTGAGGTGTACACATATGTGAAGGGACAATCCCATAACCATTGGGTAGTATCTAGCAAGAAATGCTACATCTCTTTTGTGTCATATTTATGAGAGAAGGAAGAGTTAAAACTTAAATAAAAGTAGTTAGATCATGCCTCAGAGGTTAGTGTTTTAAGGGAGAAGAGAGAAATAGGAGCAGGTTTCAAGAGAGTCTCCCCACCCAGCCATGGCAGATGGAGCTTTTCAGGGCTTGCTTTGCAGTAGATGTGTGGTACCAACCGGATGAAAGAGGCAGACACGGGCTTTGCAGTGTCCCGAGTCTGGACTTACTTCTTCATGAGTCTTTGACAGCAAAGTTAGTTCTTCTTTCATGCTCTCTATCTGAGTCTCCAGATCCATTTTAGTTAAATTAGCATCATCAATCACTTTATATAGGGAATTAATTTCATCTTCCACTGCCTTTCTGAATGGCTGCTCATTTTCATACCTGCAGAGAAAATGAAAACACCCATAACCCAAACTTTAATACAGCACAGCTCAGCAAGAAAAACCTGCTTTTCTTTTTTTTTTTTTTAATGACACCATTTGTGCTAATTAGCTTGCATGTCCCAGACAGAGGCACAGAAACACCGAAGATATACTTTGCTCTCACCTTGTCTCGCTATACTTGAATTTAGCTGCCTGCAGTACCTTATCATTAACGCGAAGTGTGACAAACCAGGCCATGCTGGCAGCGTGAGCTACAGCGAGTGTCTGTCAGCCTGGCAGGATTCCTGAATAAGCATGGGGAGGCACATGGTCTCTTGCTAGATCTGGAATTTTTTTTTTTGCTTAGCTGTAAAATGCAAATAACTGCCCACAAGTCTACAGGAAAACTTTTCAGAGCGACGGTTAAAGAAGATATGTGTACTTTTACTAACAGACGAGCTGATGTAACTCTGCTCTGTGTTCCAGGATCCTAGCCCATCCTTTGGACCAAATCCCAGAGGTATCAAAATAAAGAGGAAATTTGAGTGGTCGGTTTGTCAACCAGAATTGCTGTTAAAGTTCATTTTTAAACCCTGGATGCAGTGGCAAGGAATATCCTGGCGGACAGTTACTGTTCTACAGCAGCTTCTCTTGTTCGTACGTATTAGTTTTGGGCTTTCCATTGGAAATGTGGGCAGGTTGGGTGGCCAAACTCTCTAGGTGGGAGGCTTCTGTACCCTTCTGAAAAAAGAGGTAAACTTAAGAATGTGATCAACACACTTTTTGATGTGATTAAATAAAACACCGGAGAGAGATAGAAGTTTTAAGGGATGATAAAAATCATAGGAAATAAAAATCAATTAGTTTGAAATACAGTTTGTGTGTCAGACCTCACAAAAAGCTATTTGTAAATGAATGAGTTCCATTAAGAATCAAAGCCAGAAGGATCCCATCTCCTGAGTAAAATTTAAAGATCTTCATGCACTCATGTACATGAATATTAGGCTTTGCAAACAGAAAAAAGTGAAGAAAGCAGTTTGCCAGTATTTAATATCTTCTTTTGCTGTTCGTTTCTCTCAGTAACGACAAGGAAAATCAGTGCAGCCCGTTTCTCTTTTCTTATCTAATATTTCCACACTGACATTTGTAGTGGTGCAGCTTTTGCTTTTCAGCTGCTGCAGCAGAATGGCTGTTACTTTCAAAGCCACTTGTGAGGTACTGAAAATTAAATTGCAAAATAACGTGCAAGTTTGCCTTTATAAAACGCCAACCCAAACTTGAATGAATGCTGACCTCTCAGTACAAGATCAATGCCTATATATCAAAGAATTAATAATTTTGTTAGTGCGCTTTTTTTTTCTTACAAATCCTCAAAATCTTCCAAAATAATTTTAGCATCATAATTATTTTGCTGTTACAAAACCTCTCCCAAATCAGGTGGTTGAATATTCAATCTAGAAGAAAGAGCCCATTCTACTCTCAAATTATTACTCCCCAAAAAATATTCAGAGAAAGTGGCCAGCGAGGCACCACCATTACACTACCTGTCTTTAAAATCTTCAGCACAGGCTTGAATGTTCTCGGTGTGCAGCATAAGACGAGCGTTTTCAAGGACTGCTTCACCCACCTAGAAGAGAGAGACAACAGAACTCAGGCAAGGAAGAGCTTCGGCACATCAGCTACACGCACTGTGTGTGTATCTTTAGCTTTGATTCTGAAAGTGATCCTTTAGCCTAGGGCTGTTCAAGTGACTCATTCCAGATAATTTAATAAATTAATTTTGTACATACAAATCCAAAACTCTCAGCACAAAGGCCCCGATTTGTCATCAAATCATTCATTGCTCCTAAGTGTTCATCTCCTTGTGAAACACATTTATTCTGATTGTCACAAGGGGCTGGTCACAAGGGGCAAAATTCATTATGTGCGTGAGGTGTGCTCATCGTTTAAGTCCTGCTTAAATTTTTTAGATCCGTTTAAGCAGCACTTACGCAGTTCCTTTTCTACTTCCCATATCAACAGCCCTCTTCAGGGTGGTCTTCTTCAGCAAGCCGAGGAATACTTGGTCCTCTTGCCACCTGTGATCCGTCTGCAGCTCCTTTTTCTTCTCTAGTGGGATCCTTTAAGCTCTTGCGACAGGTATGAGACCTGAGAAGCAGGCAGTCTTCAAAGATGATTACACCAAATGTGAAATGTTTTGGAAGGCTTGTGCAAATAAGACAGTGGAACGATCACGATGGCTTGGGGAGGGGGATGTTTAATGCCCAGGAGGCACTTGAGGTGTAAGCAAACCTGAAAGACTTGTGACACCAGCAACTTTTTCTGATTCAAGAGGCCTGTAGACAATGATTAAAAAGTAAAAAAAAAAGAAAAAAAAAAAGACCACTGCCTGCCCTGGGGTCAGAGGTGCACTGAGCTATGGAGGCGACGGAAGACACACTGACTTTGGTACCAGGATCAGAGAGATCATCTCTGCAACTGACTGCCTGGGGGCTCCAGCCATCCCCTGGTACATGCTGATGGTCTGGAGGAGCCGGACTGAACATTGCTTTGTTTTTTTTCAGGAGATACCTGTGGAGGTTTGCAGTTGAAACTACACCACCAGATCAATAAGAATAGCTTTTTAAGCAGGCCTGGAGAGTTCTTTAAGCAGAGATCTTTCTTTAGATTACTAAATCTGCAATTAAATGGGATTGCAAATTCCCCAGAACACTCTGTTTCCCTGAGGTGAAACAGGCTCTGCAATGTGGAAACAGCAAGGCTTCACCCAGACAAGTTATCTCAAGTATCCCAAGTGGAGCTGTCACCCTAATGTGGTCCTACCTGCTCTTTGGCCTGCTGCTCGTGGCTGGGTGGAGGTGGACATGCAAGGCTGAAACATTTCTACGTGGTAATTAACATCTGTCCTCACAAGGAGTAGCTTACTGCTCCCGATGTCTTAGGGATGCCTGGACAAACAAATATGTGGAAGCGTCTGATAAGGAGAGATCTGGAGGAACAACCTATTCCCCACACTGAGAAGTCCATAACATGTCATGAAGTTAAAAGCACTCTGTATCTTTTAAATCTCATTTCTCACCTCCTGTTTGGAGCAAAAATGGGAGGTGGCTGCAGCTAGAAGCCTGGGGCTGGAGCTCCAGTCTTGTCTGCTCCAGCTCAGGGCTTGGCTTCCAAAGGAGACATAGCTAGTGTCATTGCATGGGCTGCCCATTTGTTGTTAATAGCTCTGGGATTTCTTGGCCAATTTCAACCATTAAACCTGAGAGCGAGCCTGGAGGGTAAGACTCGGCAGTGTCTGTGTGGAAACCAGGTTTCCTGAACAATTCTCCCTGCTTTGCTCGAGCTGTGAAAGCCCTTCCGTAGGCTTTAGAAGAAGAGGCGTAAGGTTTCCATCTACTGGCTCTTTTATTTGGTTTAATTCTCCTGATAATTGACAGCTGGATGCAAACGCGCAGCCACTTTGCTGACGCACAGACTAAAATGCATGAGGCAGCAGTTTAGGAACCACCCTTCTTTGTGTCCACAGGGAACGAGAGGGCTCGCAGTGCTGCAAACACTTAGGCATTGCCTGCTCCACACTGTCCTGCCTCACAGGGCTCCTGTTGCTGGTACTTGTGTGATATTTAAATGGCCAAAGTGGGAAGCGTTATCAAAATGCAAATATTATTACAAATAATAGCTCCTTTAAATCACATATTGTGTTTGGATGCTCATCTGTGACACGCATATCCCTTTTGAACCTGAGTTTCTTTCAGGTCTTGAATTAACACTAAGTATATGTGGCACAGAACACCTTAACTAGAAGGCAGCAACAATTTTCTTCGATTTTGCTGTGATTTCCTGGATGTGAAAAAAGTCTTACAAAATCTGCACCAACGTACTGGCCCATTTAATGGGTTATGACTGGCAACAAGGAAAACAGCCAAATTCCTGGCCTTAGGTGTGGCCTGTGATAATGAATCTCATGGTTTAATTATTCACATAATGGAAAACTATCTGGCTTTTAAGTTCATTTCTGCATAAAGCAAATGATACCTCTGTGGAGAAAGATGAGAAGGTGCCTGTCTCGTCTGTCCTTCGGCACAATCTTCCTTTGGAAGACCGATGGGTCCTTTGTTTTTTTTTGCAAACCTTGACATCCTTTATATCTCAAATATTTTCTAAATAAACTGGACTGCATCAAAAAAATGCCTGGTTCTCAAAGCAGGACGTACCTCCCAAAGAAATGATCTGTAAAAGCTGCAGCATCACCTAAACTCAAGGAGGAAACCTCACGGCCATGTGTGAAGTAGTCCAAGGTCGCACCGTTGGAGTTGGCTGGGAGGACATAATTAAAATTAATTTACTGCCGTCCTCTCCATGATGGTCGACCAAACTCTGTGCCATTTTGGGGGAGTTTGTGGTGCCCTTAGATTGGCAGCAGAATGTGATTTTGCCCATTTACAGATGCTGATCATGTGCTGTGTCACGACGGAGCGTTACAGGCAACACTCGGCAGCTCTCCTGGCCCTCAGCAAATAAATTACTGGGTGCGAGTCCGAATGCGGCGATTCCTTGGGCCGCTGGTCCTGTGCATTCTCCAGGTTTAATATAAGCATTGAGTAAACGCTGACAGTAAGGCCAGGTACAAACAGAAGTACCTCTGCAGAAAAATTCTGGTGATCTTTCCCAGGCAGACACAGGAGTTGCTGCAGTGAGACTAAAGCTGGATGAGGAACTTGGTCCTCAGGGACACCACATGTCGCTCTGTCGCCCACACAGCTGTAACCGCACGGTCCCAGAGGCTGAGCTACTCTCTGCCCTCCGTAAACTTGCTGAAATTATTTAGAGAATCTGCTTTGCTCAGGTGCTGCCCTGCTCCCTTACAACCAACCTCCTCTTCTGTGGAAAAGACACATCTGATTAGAGATGGAATTCTCTGCGACAAGACCGGGATGAAGCCTGGAGTAAAAAACGAGATGAGTTTGTAATTCTGCCATGTGAATCCCTCTCCACAAGGATATCTCATTTCACTTGTTTCCTGCAAAAATCCTCCTGTTTTGTGCCCAGCCCGATTCGTGTGTGTCCACTTGGTCTGCTCAAAACCAGCTGCCCAGGAGGATCACGAGTGCTGGGACCTGGAGCGAGGGACAGGTCTGACAACTGCCATGAAACGAGTGGTTTGCCCTGAGGGACCTTCCCACTCTCTCGTTGCCACTTTTTTCCACCCATGTTTGGGAGAAATGCTGACACCCAGTCCTTGTTGCTGTCTGAAACCTGGGATGCTGGAGCACATCCTGGGAAGGGCAGGAGGGAATTGGGGCCAATTTTTCTATGATACTTGCAATACTATAAATACATAGCTTTTTTTTTTCTGATTTTATATAGGAAGAGCCCCGTACTCAAGCTAGATTTCATTATGAGCTGCTCTTACTCATAAGCAAAGGAGGCTGAGGCAAGGTGGCAGGATGGCGATATAAAGAAAGCTTAGAAGGAAAGCAATTTGGATGAAAAAATTATTACACAAGTAAGTTCATCTGCACTACAATATTGGGGTTTCATGTAACGAAAAAATCAAACAGTCCTTCCTAAAGTCCGTACGGTCCTGCTTTTCTGGTCTTAACCATAAACGGTAGGTTTTACAGGTGAGGCTTACAAAATGGGACAGCTGGTCTGGAAAACACAGGAAGGGGGCTGCAAAGCACTAACCCCCATCTCACGTCCAAGTCCCCATCTATCTCTGCGAGGGGACAGGCTCTATGTGTGGCTTTTCGTAAGCACTCAGACTGAGAGGACCCTTTGCCTTCAGCGGCTTGTCCCTTCAGGAAGCTTTGTAGGATAAGTGGCAGCAATGCCAGTCACCAGTACAAAAAGATAACAATGTCCAAAGCCAGTGCTTAGCCAGGCGTTTCTGCTGACGTGCGCTTTGTACGACAGCTTACGCCACCTGCGCTCAGGGTTCAGACGACATCTGTAGCTTCTGGGCGAAGATCTGGCCCAAAACCATAAAAATGCACCCTTTTTCCTACACCAGAGGAAAACATGCCACTGTCTCGGGGAGCTTGTCTTCCAGCCTTGCTGAAGACCTGCCAAAGGCTTTTTCACACGCTGATGCGAAGGGATGTGCACGCTGTCCGGCTCCAGCTCTTCGGGGTCTGTCCACTCCCACCACTGGGAGTTGGGAAGTCGAGACCTCGCTGCAAACAGGGAATCGGCCTGCAAAGTCTTACTGGTCTTACTGGTTTCTTGTCCACTAGGGCAATGCAAACACCATTTTGCATTCCTGTTTTTTTTCCTGGAGGACGCGCTGCCTGTGCCATCCAGAGAAGGTGGGAGTGAGGGATGGAGGGGTGGCGATGAGGGGAAGGAGTCACTTGTTTGTAGCCATGTAATTATTATTTTTAAATAAATGAAGCTTTGAAAATGTGATTAAGCAAACAAGGGAATAAAGTAAAAATCTGAATTGCTAATTAAAAAACCCCACAACGTGCTTGTAATGATATAATGTTGAGGGATAAACTAATTCAGTCCTAGCAGTTTTCCTTTAATATTTTTATGCTCATTGTAAAAATCACAGCTAAGAAAAAACAAAACTAAGGAAAAAAAAAAATCACCCGTTTTAATCATCCCAGACTATGGTGCCTCGGGATGCGTTTCGATCACCCCCATGAGCAGGATGCCTGAGGCAATCCTTCTGCCTAACAGGCATTTCCTGCAGCACTAATTATCACGAAGGCAGATTCAAAGCCCTGCGTCTAGGCCACCAAGCTTCAAAATCAGTCGGCATCCACCACCACCCTGCGGGGCTGCCACCGACTACCACGGTACCTCCATCCCTGTCCCCCCTCACCTGATGGTAAATGGCCTCCCAGTTCTCCCTCAGCGCTCCCCAGCTGCCCACGCTGGCCGCTTTCTTGTCCAGGTAGACCCTGATGTGCTCTTCCAGCTCCTGGTTCACCTGCTCGAGAGCTCGCACCTTCTCGATGTACTCCACCAAGCAGCTGTTGAGGCTCTCGTAGGAGAGACCCCTGCCCTTCTCCAGCCCCGGGGCCAGGGGCAAAGCGGTGGAAGAGCTGCGCAAGCCCTGGAGGAAAACGCTGCTGATGCCCAGGGCTCGGCGGGACACTCGGGTCCCCAGACTGCT